GCAGTGTTAGTCCACATAGGATTTGTTGCTTTCTTGAAGGATCTAATAGTGTCTAATGTGATGTATATTACCTGACTTCAAATATAAATCCTCCTATCATTTCCAAGCTCACAAAGGAAATGAAATGGATTGTTATGTTCTTTTCCTAATTTCTTCATTTTCCAGGAGCTCTTCAGTGGACAGGTGAGGGGGATTGGTAGAGAAGAAGATGGACTATTATGTATTCAATCTACTCCAAAGAAGTTAGTGCATTACAAAGTAGTGAGTATAGTTGTGTGCATAGGAGATTGGGTCATGCTCCCTTAGACACTCTGCAGAAATTAAAACAATCTTGTGACTTTCAGTCTGCTGAATGTGGTGGTAAAGACAAGCACGTACAGTGTGTCCCCTAGCTAAACAAACAAGACTATCTTTTCCTCTTAGTTCTACATCTAAGTCATGTTTTCATACAATTCATGCTGATGTTTGGGGTCATTATAGAGTTCCTACCTATGATGTAAAGAGGTATTTTCTGACCTTGGTAGATGATTGCTTTAAGATATACATGGATCTTTCTTTACCTACAAAAAGCTGAAGTGGTTGTTGCTGCTGAGAATCTTTCTTGCTATGATTAAAAATGTTTACTCCACATCTGTTAAGTTTTTTAGGTCTGGACAATGGATGTGAATTCTTCAATACTCACATGTCAGGAGTTACTACAGTCTCATGGAATCATAACACCAAAGTTCATGCATTTCACTCCTCAGCAAAATGGAGTTGCTGAAAGGAGCATAGGTACATTCTAGAAGTTGCTCGAGCACTCAGATTTCAAGCCTCAGTACCCTTGAAAATTTGGGGAAGTGTGTGAGCACTGCTGTATATATCATCAATAGACTTGCCTTCACTTGTTCTTTCATCACAAAACTCCTTTTGAGATTTTAGTTGGCATTCACCCTCCTTACAACATATGAGGGTGTTTGGTGCTTAGGCTATGTTACTATCAGTTAAAAGACCGACAATTTGCTCCTAGAGCTTACCCTACAGTCTTCCTTGGGCTATTCTGCTACACAAAGGGGATATAAAATGTTTAGCCTTCACACAAAGGAGTTTCATGTTAGCAGGGATGTGGTGTTTATGGAGGATATCCTTCTCTTTTCAGTTCTTGAACTCATCTTCCTTTCTTTATTTCCTGTTCTGGATGTTTTCACTATTCCATCAAAGTAGCTCTGCAAACATAACTGCATCTATGTCCTCTCTCCCTTCTTCTCCTGCTTCTTCACACTCTACGATTCTTCTATATCTCTTTCTCTCTGATATTTCTCTTCCTATATACCCTGTTGCTGCTGATGATTCCACTGTCCATGATATGCCTTTTCTTCTCATACTGAGGTCCATGATGGCGACAGAAAGTCCTCTAGAATCAGCAGGCCACCAATATGGCTGCAAGACTATGTAGTTCCTAGTAAAGCCAGTGCCCATTGTAGTTATCCAATTTCAGACTGCGTCAGTTATGCCAATGTGTCACCCTCTTTTGGAGCTGCATTAGCTTCCTATTATGCATTGTGGAGCCTAAGTCCTACACTGAGGCTCCATCAAAGATTCCAAATGGGTTTGAAGCAATGAAGAGTGAGTCTCAGCTTTGGAAGATAATCACAACCTGGTCAGTGGTTGATCTGCCTCCTGGGAAGGTTCCCATTGGTTGTAAGTGGGTGTTCAAGGTGAAATATACTTTCCCTCAGGTGCATGGAAGGTACAAGACCAGGCTTGTAGCCAAAGGGTATAGTCAGCAGGAGGGGTTGGATTACACTGAGACCTTTTCTCCTGTAGCCAAAATGGTTACAGTCAGGTCAGTTCTTGCTATTGCTGTTGCAAAACATTGGGCCATTTTCCAGATGGATGTGCACAATGCTTTCCTTCAAGGTGATCTCCTTGAAGATGTTTACATGGAGGTTCCTCCAGGGTTTGCTAGCCAGGGGGGAAGCAAAGTGTCTGCAAACTTCATAAGTCTCTATATGGGCTTAAGCAAGCCCTTAGACAATGGAATAAGAAGCTAACAGATGAATTAATACAACTGGGATTCACTCAAAGTCACTTTGATTATTCATTGTTCACCAGAAAAGAGAAGTCTGAGCTAATAGTGGTGCTTGTCTATGTGGATGATCTACTTGTAACTGGGACCAGTCAGAAGTTGATTCTGCAAACTAGAAATGATTTGAAGTTGAAGTTTAAAATGAAAGACCTTGGTGAGCTTAAATTCTTTCTTGGAATAGAATTTGCTAGATCATCTAAAGGGATTGTGATGAGTCAAAGGAAGTATGCATTGGAACTCATTGCAGAAATGGGGTCTTAGTGGTGCAAAACCTGCTGGAACACCATTGGAAGCAAATATAAAACTCACATCTGAAGAGTATGACAAATTCATTCAAAGTCAGTCTCCTCTTGAAATAGAATACAAGTTGCTAGCTGATGCTGGAAAATACCAAAGGCTAATAGGGAGATTACTATATCTTACTATGAGTAGAGTGGATATTGCATATGTGGTGCAAGTTCTAAGTCAATACATGCACAAACCAAAGCAGTCACACATGGATGCTGCATTGCGAGTGCTGAGATATATCAAAGGTTCTCCTGGTCTTGGTCTTCTAATGCCAACTGGAAACTCAGGTAAACTAGTGGCCTTCTGTGATTCAGACTGGGGAGGATGTCTTCAAACCAGGAGATCAGTGACAGGCTACTTGGTGAAATTTGGAGATGCTTTGATTTCATGGAAGTCAAAGAAACAAGAGACTGTAGCAAGGAGTTCAGCAGAAGCAGAATTCAGGAGCATGGCTTCAGCAGTGGCAGAACTCACATGGCTTACAGGGCTTTTCAAAGAGCTAGGAGTGGATGTTGAGCTGCCTATAACCCTTAACTGTGATAGCAAAGCTGCTATTCAAATAGCAGCTAATCCCATATTTCACGAGAGAACCAAGCATATTGACATTGTTTGTCATTTTGTCCGCGAGAAATTAGTGCAAGGTCTGATCAAAACACATCATGTATCCACTAAGGAACAGGAGGCTGACCTTCTAACAAAGAGCCTTGGTCGAGTACAGCATGACTACTTATGTCCAAGCTAAAGTTGAAAGACATCTTTCAACCATTAGCTTGAGGAGGGGTGTTGAATCAAGAGCTGTGAAAAGCTAATTATCTGTAATTAGTTAGCGTTAGTTAAATAGAATTAGAAAGTTAAGTAGTTGAGTAGTATAAAATGTACAGTACACTTCCATTTTTTAGTTATGTAAAAATAGAGCATAACCGCTCTTCTTCTTCACTCTGTTTCTTCCTTCTTCCTCTGATCTTCACTGCCATAGCTAAGAGATGATTTCTCAAGTTTATCACATTGCTTTCTCCTTTTTCCTCTTTCCTTTTTAGTCACTGTTTTCTTTCTTCTTTTAGTTACCCTTTTTTCAGTTCATTCACTGTTTTTTCAAATTAATTCATTGTTGTTTTCTTGCAGCTTTCTCCTTTGGACTTGATAACTCATATTAGAGGTGGTGTTTCTTTTGTTGTTTAGACTTGATACCTCATATTCGAGGTGGTGTTTCTTTTCTGTTTAAACTTGATAACGCATACTCGAGGTTGTGTTTCTTTTCTGTTTAGACTTAATAACTCATACTCGAGGCCGCGGTCTTTTTCATAGGAAATGCTGCATGTTCCTCCACTAGATGTACGAGTGAAATTTTGACATGTCAATCAAGTAGCAGTATGTATGAGGGAATTTTTGACATCATGGAAATTAACAGGGAGTTGAAAAAACAAGACAATTACAAGAAGTTTAGCACTGAAAAGGACTTCTTATTTATACAAAATGTGTAGGTCTGATAAAAATGGCTTTACAAAAGGAAGATGGACTCCTTAAACATATATAGAATATTTCATCATTGGATATATTTTTATTAGAAAATGTACATGTGCTTGTTGAAGGTTTAAAAACTGACTTGTGTTGTGAACTGGTACAACTTTTGCATTGTCTTTTTCATATTTTAAGTACAGTTTGTGGCTTCTAATGCTTGGTGAATACATCAATCTGCAGTTCACTTTGAATTTCCAAGCAAATATTGTTACTTCAGTAATTGCAGCTTGCACCTTTTCTGGCATTTGATGGATTGATTTTCTTGCTGAACTGTTTATTTATGTTCCTCATTTCATGTAATTATCATGTGATTCTTGTTTTACTGATATAAGTTAGGATCTCTTGAGATAAAAATTTGGACCTTAAACATTAGTCTCTGTGATTAGATTTGGTCTATGGTGATTTTTTCTCATCATTTGTGAAGATGAAACTGGTTTTTATTGTTAGAGTCTCACATTACATCTGAATTCCTTAGAAAAGAATTTTTCTTTTATATCCTTGGTTGTTGAATTTTGATCTGATTACTTGTTCGTTATTTCAATTTGTTCTGTAGGCATTGTATTGAAGTGGCGCCTCATTAGCTAACAGTCCAAGAAAATTGTCAGTACTCATTTTATAGTATTTTATAGGATTCATTGTAGTTGTTTCTCTTATTATATAATGTTGGATGGAAATTCTCTCTCCACTCCTGTACTAATTTTATATATAGGATCAGTTTTTATTCTAGTTTTGTTACTATTGCTAGCTTGCAAAATTGTTTCAGTTATATATGGCTGATTCGGAAAAAATATATAAACATGTTATGGGTTGTTGGTGTGATAATAGATGAAATAGAGTTGACTAAATTTAAGACCAAAAGTGTAATTTGCTTTATTTATATGGATGACTCATAAACTTGTCAAACAAAAAAGCTCCTTTTTTATTTATTTATTAACATTAACTAATTTTAATGTTTCATTTAGGCATTTTATGGTCTGACCTATTGAACACCTAATTAAAGGTGATAGATATGCGCACATATTGGTGACATGAGACATTACGCTTTTTAGAACCAAAATTGGATGTGTGTAATGTAATGCCTACAACAAATATCTTTAAAACTTGAAAAAGAAAAAAACGGCCATTATTTTCATTTTTACCCGACCAATTCCTCCAAAATCAGTCGAATGAAGAATTCATCCAAATCAGTTGAACATAAATCTCTAGCCAGTCATGTTATAAACCTTCCAGATGTTGAGCCACGAATAATTAGAATTTGTAACTAAGTTTTTTCTAGCCAAAATTTGAGACTTAGATATAATTTAATAAGTACGTACAACTCATATATAAAATGTCATTGTCTAAAATCATAAAAGTTCATAGACAATCTGATCTAATAAAAGTTCAAGAATTTCTTGTCCAAAATGTAGGCATAAATCTTCAAAATTGAAGTCTCCTCCAGCTCTAGTAGCTACGTCCCAATATGACTCATTTAACTCTTCTTCTGTTAATCTGCAAATTTCACCAAGTACCTTTATGTAATAATCTGCCTCTTTATTAATCTCCTTTTGCTTCTCAACTTTGCTTGTGATTGCAAGTTCTGGATTGGTGACTCTTGTTTGAGATTTTCTTGAATTAAGCTGTATTTTGGTAGACACTACACATTTGCTTTTGCTCTTCTTCTTTTTCTTATCAACCTTGGATTCAACAGATATTTTCCTAGGATAATCCTCAAACTTCACTTGCTTTTTCACCTTATTAGCAATCCTATTTTGTTTTTCACAAACTTCTTTCTTCTGGCCAATAATAGACATATTTAATGATGTTTTAGCAACATCAACTTTCTTCTTCCCTTTTTTCTGAATATTTTTTCTACTGCTATCTGCATCCTTCTTTGGCTTCATTTCTTGATTTCCCACCTTATTGGATTTTCTAATACTAAAGTTCTTTTTCTCTTCTTCATCATTGAAGCAAAATACCAAAAACTCTGACTTGAATTCTTGATCAAAATTTGGTATTTCGCGAAAAGACACAGATGTTCTAACTCTTCTATGATGAAAATTTTCAGTTAGATTAAACTGCATCAAGTAATCTAGAGAATTAACTGACCTGCTTCTTGGAAATGAACCAACAAAAGTGTTTTTTTCTTCAGGTAATGAGTCTAATCCCATTAGTCTTGCTACAATTCCTGGACTATTGGCTGTAACTTTATTACTACTACTAATATTTTCATCAGCCTTGAAAGGTAATTTCTGACTAGAATGATCAAATTCTACTCCATTTGGTTTCGTATATTGATCAGAAGGGTGTGTCGGGAGGCTTCCACCACAAAGTAGTCTTTGAAAAATACCTGAAAAACACTTAGCTGAAGTTGCATCCTTTGGATTTTCAGCCATTGTTTGAGTTTTCAAGAAAATGAGAACAAAAAGTTTATCACTAGTTAGTGACTGAAAAAGAGAAGAAAAGTCACTAAATAGAATGGTTTTTATAAAAAGGGGTTGATAGAGAATGATGAAAGGAACATCAAGTTGGTTTTTATAAAGGAGTTGAAAAACAAAAAATCAACTTCAAGAAATTAAGCATGAAAAGGACCTTTTTTGTTGTTTATTTTTGCAAGATTTAAGGGGGTGGTTTAAAAAAGGGATGATGAAAGGAACATCAACTTGGTTATATAAGGGAGTTGAAAAAACAGGACAATTTCAAGAAGTTTAACACTGAAAAGGACTTCTTAATTTTTTCTTGTTTATTTTTTGCATAGTTTGGTTTGGAAAAAGAAGGTTATGTGTGGAGGAGGGCTAAGAGTTTGAATGTTGTTTCTGAGAAGTGGGGGAGTTGGGAACTATTTGAAAGCTTTAAGAAGAAGTTGATGGAAAGACTTCTAGCTCATTGAGTTCACACTATAAGTTTGGAAAAAACTTGGACCTGAAAAAATTGTTATTTTATTGATCCAATGCAGTATCACACGCTTATCAACCCTTATTCTTTTATTTTCTTTACATTTATGTTGGTTTTTCCAATATTATAATTACTCAAGAGAATCTAACCTATATACGTTGATAGGGATAAAAAAAAAGTTTAACATTGTCGGTTTATATTAATATATATTGTAATTATAAGATAACATGTCTTATTTTTCATGGTTATAAATTGAACTTTTTATGGACAGAGTTACATACACTAGTAGTGTAAATTTTAAATTATTTATTTAATTTAACTATATATAGCAAGTTATTACTCTATTTTTCAGGTTATTCTATTATATTGCTATGAAGAATTAAGTTAACCTGACGACCAATGTCCAAAATTTAAACTATAAATAAATTTAAGTTATATATATCGGTAACATATAGCTCAAGGACAAAGAAGTTCGAATGTCGCAATACAAAGAAAGAGACCTTAACAATTCAAGACTTGTTAAATCAACACGTACCTATCGTTACTAAAAAAATAACACACCATAAGAAAGAGATAAAAACACGTCAAATAAACTAGTGTTATTATTGTATGAGAAAAATGGTCTGGTTTGAAAATCCCAATTTTGTTTAGTTATGGATCGTATTTTACATGTCAGCGTGTGTTGACTGAATATTGCCGAATTTGTTGACTTTTTATCTGCTCCGACAACCGTTTTCTCATTTCACCGACATCTTTGACTCCTTTCATTTGCATCCAAAATTTTTTTAGTACATTCCCTTTCAAAAATTATGTGGTCCAATTTTTATAGTTTCATGATTTTCCCTATAATTTTGAGGTAATTTATTATCCAAAATTTGAGAAATAAATCCCAGAACATGGGTCCACGAGTTGCGAGTTGAATAACTAGTTCAATTAGAAGTTGTTACTTGAAGCAGGAAAAAAAAAACCTTTTTTCGGTGTGCCTCTAACCCAACAGTCACAAAAATTTCTCAAGAAGGCTGTTCTTTTTTGTAGTGGCTTTTGACAAAATTAAACAGCCCGCAATCTAAATATTTTTTTTTGAACCTTTATCAACCAGTGATAAGTTACAAGTACTTTGCACATAACTACTTTACTTTATGTTTTGATGATCTAACAAACTTACCATCCAGAGCCAGATAAGGAACCTGTTACACATTTACAAAACCTTAAGATCACAAAGTTCCAGGTTGGGATCCAGCGTAGGATATAACATAACTCTTCAGAGTGGAAGGAACAGCTGAGGGAACAGGTCCCTAACGGTTCCCGAGGAGACTGTATGAAGTCAACTCTCCAGCTGGAAAGTTGCTGCCTGCACACGCTACTGTGCAGGAACAGTGCAGCAGTCAACTTTCTATGGAAGGCTTTTTACCTACCTTTCTTACATCATTGTAAGTGATGTCACACATGTATAAATACAATCAAGGAATGTAAAACAACTTACTTCATGAGAGGACAAGATAAGGAATCTGATACAATTAAGTTCCCTTGCATTCCAAATAACTAGTCAGATGTCTGGTCCAATTCTCAATGAAATCAGATAAGGAAACAGCAGAAGGACCAGATAGGGATCAGTTTCCCTCGTCGTTGTACAGTCAACTCTACAGCTGTAAAAGCTGCTGCACTGTACCGCCTGGCAGACTACTGCACTGTACCGTCCGGCAGCAGTACAGCAGCACAGTTGTAGCTTGCTAAGGCCCAACTAAAGGGCACTTTATTGCATCATCCTTGATGACATCACACACACATATTATCAATATGAGGTAAGGGATTTGATCTCTTCAACACTTGCAAAATCAAAAGAAAATATTCTCTCAAGTGCTAGCCACAACCTCTCTCAAGAACAAAGCTGCTGCAACCTCAAGGACCAGATCCAAAGATTGAAGATATCTTAAGTCCTTAGGTTTGTTGAGTCTTTGTTATTTGTTCTTCATTTGTCACTCCTACTTAGCTTAGTTAGAAGCATTGTGTAGGAACCCCTTTGTAAAACCATAAACTTTCTGAGTTTGTGTTGTGACTAGAGTTAGTCATAGTTGAAGTCTTTGTAACTAGTGAGTGACAAAGTGGCTTGTGGTAAGTGCATCACAAGTTAGTTGAGTTGAAGTCTTTGTAACTAGTGAGTGACAAAGTGGCTGTGGTAAATGTATCACAAGTTAGTTGAGTTGAAGTCTTTGTAACTAGTGAGTGACAAAGTGGCTTGTGGTAAGTGTATCACAAGTTAGTTGAGTTGAAGTCTTTGTAATAGAGTCATTACAAAGTGGCTTGTAATAGTGTGTTTGCAAGTTAGTGAAGTTGAAGGCCTACAAGTGTAGGTCGTGGTTTTTGTCCCCTTGAGTAGGGATTTTTCCACGTAAAAATCCTCTGTGTTCTTTATTTATTGCCGAGGTACTGTGGGAACAATTAGAGAACCTGATTCCCTATACTGGTTGGTTTTACAGTCTATTGCTTAGAGTGGGAACTGATAGAGATTCTGGTTCTCTAAACAGTCTGGTGGACGCTTAGTTTCTATCAATTGGTATCAGAGCAGGTTCTTTCTAAAAGGTTAACACCTAGACAGGATCCACATGGCTGCTCCACCAAACTTCGAGGAAGGACAATCAATGTACAGACCACCAAGATTCAACGATCAATACTATGGTTGGTGGAAAACAAGGATGCATGACTTCATAATGGCTGAGGATTCCGAGCTTTGGGATGTGGTTTGTGATGGTCCCTTTGTCCCTATGAAGGCTATTGGAGAGGGAACAAGGACTGTTCCAAAAACAAGAAAAGAATACAATCGTGCTGGCCGAAAAGCTATTGAGAAGAACTTCAAGGCGAAGAAGATTCTTGTGTGTGGTATTGGACCAGACGAGTATAATCGTATCTCGGCATGTGAATCTGCCAAGGAAATCTGGGAAGCTCTTTAAACAGCTCACGAGGGAACTACTCAGGTAAAGCAGTCCAAAATAGATATGCTTACAACTGAGTATGAACTCTTTAAAATGGAAGAGCATGAGTTCATTCAAGAGATGCATACCCGTTTCACCTCCATAATCAATGAGCTTCATTCACTTGGTGAAATCATTCCAACCAACAAGATGCTCTGGAAGATACTCAGTGTTCTACCAGGTTCCTGGGAGAGCAAGGTTAATGCTATCACTGAAGCCAAAGACCTGCAGAAGCTGACTATTGACGAGCTTATTGGAAATCTCGAAACATATGAGATGAAGAGAAAGAAGGATCTTGAAAGAAGAGAGACCAATGAGGAGAGGAACCTGGTTCTCAAAGCTGCCCTTACTGACTTAAGTAGTGATGAATCTGAAATGACATATCTCTCTCGAAGATTTCAAAAGATGGTTCGTAAAAATGGTGGGATCCCAAAGAAAGGAAGTTCCAGCAGGAATTCAAAGGAAATGATTGTTGTCATAAGTGTGGAAAGCCTGGACACTTTGTTAAAGACTTCCCTCTTCATAAACAGGATCATTATAAAACCAACACTGATAAGGCATCTAAGAGGAACCCGGTCCCTGACAGGAAATTCAAAAGAAGAGATGCTGCTGACAACATGGTGAAGAAAGCTTTGGCTGACTGGGGAGATTCTTCCAGTGAATCTGAAGGTGAGGATGACTAAGGAGATGCATCTATGGTAGTTGTTGACAATGAATATGAGTCAATCTTTGCACTCATAGCTCAATCTGATAATGACGAGGACAAGGAGGAAGATGAGGTATGTTTTCTTGATGTTCAAAGAAATTTAAAAACTTACTCTAAGAAAAAATTGATGTCCTTCACAAATGTGTTGATTGATGGCTACCATAGCCTCATTAATGAGAAAAATGATTTAATAGAAGAAATTGATGACATAGAACAAGAAAGGGATAATATAGTAGTTTCTATTTTAGATTTGAAGGAATAAGTGGAAGAAGTAATTAGAGAAAATAACTTGTTGAAAAGCCAAACGAAAAAATGGATAGACAACACTAAGGGTAAAGAAGTGGCTAGTAAGGCTCAACTTGAGCTTGAGAGTGAGCTTAAGAAAGTTAAAACAAGTCTTGTTGTTAAGCTTGAAAAGAATAGACAACTTCAGGAAGAACTAGGAAGAGTGAAGAGTGATCTTGAAAAATCACTTAAGTGGACCTGGTCCTCTGATGCTATCACTGCCATGTACACCAACAATGGGGGAAACAGACAGGGAATCGGGTTCCAAAGGAAAAAGACTCCCTACAACCCTCATAGAAAGTACGTTACTGTACCTGACAATTGGCTTTGCACTCACTGTGGTAACACTGGGCACTTTAAAGAAAATTGTAAGGCCAGATTTCAATCTCAACAGAAAAACAAAGCTTTTGCTGAAAAAGTGACTGCTGTTAGGGAACCCGGTCCTTCACATAAAAATTGTATAATGCCTGCGTGGACCAAAAGAGCCCTCATTCACCCCTTTCCTCATTACAAGGGACTCAAACTTGTTTGGGTTCCTAAGTCTAACTCCTAATTTTCTTGTGCAGGGAACAGTGAAAGGGAGCAGCCTATAATGGTACATGGATAGCGGCTGCTCAAAGCATATGACTGGAGTACAAACGATTTCCTTTCACTTAAGGCCCTGCAAGGAGAGAGTGTACCCTTTGGAAATAGCTAAAAGGGGTACACACTAGGAGTTGGATGGATTGGGAAGTCACTCACTCACTCAATTGAGAACGTGTACTATGTCAATGCCTGAAGTACAGTCTCTTGAGTGTTTCTCAGATATGTGACAAGGGAATAAAGTGGAATTCTTGTCCAAGATATGCACAGTCACAAATCTTGTGACTGGTGAGGTGGTGCTTGTGGCCAAAAGATACAAGAATGTTTATGTTACTGATTTTAAGTCTCTGCATGGTGGTGATCAAACATGCCT